TTTATTTTCAGGAGCTGTCAGTAAGGAAGACTAATTAAGCAGTTGTAACATGTAGATGGCCACAAAACAAAACGACAGTGAGGGAGAATGGAACGATAACTGAGAGCAGTGCTTTTTAGAATCCAAGGGGTCCTTGAAACTCTGAAATTGAAAACTGTTGAGTGTGTATGTATGTATGTAAACTTTTCTAGAGAAATAGACTATATATAGTTTTGCATCAGATTCTTAAAGGGGTTTGTAAATCACAAAAGGTTAAATAAACCCATTATAACACTGAGAGAAGACAGAAGAAATGACATTTTCCTTTATTCCCAGATGACAGTAATAACAATAATTTATTGAACATTTGTTTTTTGCTTGTCGCTGTTCCAAGCACTTTCATTGATATTCTCATTTAACTTTCAAACCAACTCTGTTGCTATCTTTAATTTATGAATGAGGAGACTCAGGTTTAGAGAAGAGAAACACTGCAAGTTGTTCTGAGTTCTCTGTCTGGTCAGTGGCCAAGAGAGATGCTCCAACACTGCCCTCTTAACCAGGGTGCTGGTTAAGTATGTAATAAGTCCTCCACTTATTTTACTTTACCCTCTGTCTTTCTTAATCATTTTAGTTAAAAAAAAAAATAGCTTTTAAATTTAGCTCCCTGGCAGTCACAGACTGGCCAGCTCTCAGATTTCTGGCAGGGCAACCCGTTTGCATGGCATAAATATAACTGAAGACCTAACCAAACACTTAGATACATTTTCATCATTGTGCAATCTTACTAATGGATTGGCCTCGGGTTCCAAGTAGAAACGTTGTGGTGCCTCCCTTGACTGGCAGGCACTTTCCAGGTCCTGAACAACTATTAAATTCTGCTCATTAGGTTAATGAAAAGCGAATTTGTGGTACCCTTGCTGACGTAAAGCATTCTAGCAGCGATAAATTCGTGTGAGATTTATTTATCAGTTCTTATCGAAGTAGTTGCAAACCCTCAGACGTGGCCTTGCACAGTATGAAAATTCACTTACTGAGGAGAGCACTGAGGATCTGTCCCATTTCCAGAGATCCTCTTTCAGAGAGGTATTTAAATGAGGACATTAAATTGATAGTGCCAAGTGCGATGAGTGATAGGCCATACTGTATGTGCACTCGAATGGGTGTCAGGTTTATGGTCTGCCTGAACTTAACGATAAATCAGTGTTAGGCACTTCAGCCAGCGAGTTCAGCTTCCCTGCTCACCTTTCATCTCTGAGTGGTTACTGTGCATATTTGGCATTTACATTTGCAAAGTGTCTTTGTCCTCCAAATGTCAGTGTGGATGCAGGCTCATTTTATGATTGCTGCTTCAAAGGTGGAGAAACTGACAGGGTTGCAGGGGTGGGAGGGAGTGGAGTAACCGGGGTGCTAGGGACCCTTGAAGCAGCCACAGTGGTCTGTCCTCTGACGTTACTGTCCTTGTATATCTCTTTTGTTGTTCCCTCCTTCTTTTTCTCTCTTCTGGTTTTCATCTTTTGTGCTTCCCAATCGTACCCCACAAATATGGTTTAAATTACAGGAAGCAGCATATAGCAGAGTGCTTAAGAAGGAGCTCAAAGAAAGAGTCAAACAGACTTTGGCACAGTAGAAGTGACCTTGGGCAAGTAACTCAGCTTACCTGAATCTCATCTGTAAAATGGGGCTAATAAGACATCCCTGACAGAATTGTTGCAATGATTTTAATTTAATTAGATAATATATATAGATTATCTGTTATAAATTTTGTTACCATCATCAGAAACAAAGCACATGAGGCAGAATACAATGAAAAGTTTATCTCTGTAGTATAGAATACAGGCTGTGGGATTTTTATGAAAGGAGAAATGACTGAGGTCTGGAGCAACCAGGGGTGTCTTCTGGGGGCTGAGGACACTTAATCTAGCTGCAAAGGATGACAGGATTTGGATTAGCAGACAGGAAGGGGAAGGAGCTGTGTAATCGTGGTAGTTTGACATGTCTACAAATTCTTCGACACTTCTTTCCTAGAAGTAGAGTCTAATTCCCCTACCTGTGAATGTGGGCTGGCCTTGGGACCTTGCTTCTAATGAGCAGAATATGGCAAAAGTGAGACTGAGTGAATCCTGACACATAGTTATGTTGCCGCCCAACCAGATTCATTTGCCCACTGCCCAAGAGGAAGCTGAAGCACTGAGACAGCAGGATTTGCAGCAGAGAGTTTAGTTCCACATAGCACTAAGTGGAGAAACAGGCGTAATTTCTCAAATCTGCCTCCCTGAGAATTGGGAGTCAGGGTTTTTAAGGATAGTTTGGCAGGCAAAGAATTAGGCAATTAAGTTTGCTAATTGGCTGGATTTGGGTGGAACCTTAGTGCTGTAGAAATTGTCTTCTTTGTTGACCAGGTTCTTTGGTGGGGGCCATAAGACCAGCTGTGTCAGTTCCTTAGTATGGGTTGCTGCCTGGGTGGGTCAGCTGATCTGCGGGAATGCAGGATGGGGAAACATCTCAAAACTTACCTGTAGGTTTCAGAAAGGTGATGTTATCTATGGAAAAGCTAAGAATCTTTATGACTGCTAGCTATGTGACTCCAGAGTAGCAGACGGGGATAATGGCTTATTATTATCATTATTTTTAGCTGGGTCTGTGCCTTATTTTTATTTTATCTTATTTATTTTTATTTTGGGGGGACAGAGTCTCACTGTATTGCCTGGACTAGAGTGCTGTGGCATCAGCTTAGCTCACAGCAACCTTAAACCCTGGACTCAAGCGATCCTTCTGCCTCAGCCTCCCGAGTAGCTGGGACTACAGGCATGTGACACCACAACCGGCTAAGTTTTTTTTTCATATTTTTAGTTGCCCAGCTAATTTCTATTTTTTTTTTTTTTTTTTTTTAGTAGAGATGGGGTCTCGCTTTTGCTGAGGCTGTTCTAGAACTCCTGACATCAAGTGATCCTCTGCCTTGTCCTCCCAGAGTGCTAGGATTATAGGCGTGAGCCACCATGCCTGGCCTGTGCCTTAATTTTTTTTTTTTTAGACAGAGACTCACTGTTGCCTGGGCTAGAGTGCTGTGGCATCAGCTTAGCTCACAGCAACCTCAAACTCCTCGACTTAAGCAATCCTCCTGCCTCAGCCTCCTGTAGCTGGGACTACAGGCATGTGCCACCATGCCCAGCTAATTCTTTTCTATATATTTTTGGTTGTCCAGTTCATTTCTTTCTATTTTTAGTAGAGACAGGGTCTTGCTCTTGCTCAAGCTGGTCTTGAACACCTGAGCTCAAACAATACTCCTGTCTTGGCCTCCCAGAGTGCTAGGATAATCCTAGCATTGTAGGCATGAGCCACTTGGCCTGTGTCTAATTTTTTAGCTAGGCCCTTACCACAGTTCTAGCCTTGTACCCCTTTATCAATTTGTAAGGGAGGTTTCACTTAGAAGATGTTGTACAGCTTGTCTGTCACTCTATCATCCATCCATCCAGCTCAGGGGTCTTCAAACTTTTTAAACAGGGGGCCAGTTCACTGTCCTTCAGACCATTGGAGGGTGGGACTATAGTTTAAAAAAAACTATGAACAAATTTCTATGCACACTGCACATATCTTATTTTGAAGTAAAAAAACCAAATGGGCAAAAGCACCTGCATGTGGCCCGAGGGCTGTAGTTTGAGGACACCTGATCTAGCTAGTGACCTACCTATATATCTACCAATTGATTAATTGACTGATCTACATACTACCTAGATCTATCTATCTACCTATCTGCCTTTAGAGCTGTGAGCCACTTTGTGTGAATTCAGACTTCCCTAAAGCTACCATGGAACCACGTGGGGGGACTACATGCACACGGAGCCATCACGCTCCTGTCCCAGCGGTTCGAGTCTTCCCAGCACTGGCATGGGGTATGTGAGCGAGGCTCCATGTAATTCAGGTCCCGGCCACTATCTGACAGTAACGGTGTGGGACCATCTTAGTCCATTTTGCACTGCAAAGGAACACCTGCGTCTGGGTTAATTTATAAAGAAAAGAGGTTTACTTAGCTCATGATTCTGCAGGCTGCACAAGAAGCATGGCACCAGCATCTGTTTCTGGCGAGGGCTTCAGGAAGCTTCCGATCATGGGGGAAGGTGAAGAGGAGCTGGCTTATGCAGATCCCATGAAAGAGGGGGAGAGAGAGAGAGAGAGAGAGAGGAGGTGCCAGACTCTTTTTTAAACAGCCAGCTTTTGGAGGAACTAATAGAGTGAGAACTCGCACCCCCACCCCCACCCCCAGCCAAGGAAGGCATTAATCTATTCATGAGGAATCTGCCCTTAAGACCCAAACACCTCCCAGTAGGCCCAAACACCTCCCAGTAGGCCCCAGTCCAACACGGAGGATCAAATTCCAGCATGAGGTTTGGAGGATCAAATATCCAAACTCTAGCAGAGACCCAGAGTGAGAACTGCCTAGCTGAGTCCATCAACCACTAGAACCTCGAGAGATAACAATAAAATGTTTAAGCTGCAAAATTTGGGAGTAATTTGTTACTCAAGCCATAGTAACTGGAACAATAAGCAAAGTCATTAGAGAACTTATAAAGCAAAGCAAATTTACCAATTGGATAACAAAGCTACAAAACCAGTGGTATTCAGTTTAAATAGGTTAATTTATTTTGACAGATGATATTGTGCAATAGCCAAACGATGCTTATGTTATTCAAAGGTAAATGCTACAGTGCAAGCTTTTGGCAGATTGACACATGCATGCTGAGTGACAGCTCAATTCCCGTCCTGCTGCTCTGTTCTAGCTACCAGGAAACCATGGGTCCTCAAACTTTTTACACAGGGGGCCAGTTCACTGTCCCTCAGACCGTTGGAGAGTGCGCACAGTGGGCCTGGGATGAATCAACTGCTAAGCAGGACAGGCAGCGGTGGCAAAAACACATGGAGGCCCGGATAAATGTGCTAGGCAGCCGCATGTGGCCCAAGGGCCATAGTTTGAGGATGTCTGGAAACCCAGATTTTTTAAAATATTCATTTCCTTTTAGGTTAACGTGAAAATGAAAATGAAAAAATTTCAACAATTCTTACAGGGGATCGCCAACCACAGAGAAGGTACCAGAAAGCCAGGCTGGACTGGAAGGGAAGAATGTATACTCTAGGTAGGTCTGAGCAGAAAGTTTAGCTGAAGTGGGGTGGAGCTGTGTTGTGGATGGCCCCGAAAGCTGGAATCTAGAGTCTGAACTGTTAACTTGCAGCCATTACTGGTTCAGTGACAGGAGGAGAGAAAGCTCTATTTCAAGATTCATCTCACAGTTATATGTTTATGATGAACTAGACAAGAGTGAAGCCAGCATTGGGAAGGCTAACAGTGTCTCCTACTGTACTAGTCACTAGCACTTACAAAAATCAGTGTTCACCAAGTTCTCACTGAGTATGTGGTACTCTGTGAGGCTCTTTGAAAAATGCAGTGTGGATTGTGAACTGGATTTAGTTTCAGGGCTCAGGGATTTATGGTGTTCTTCCTTCCACTCCTGCTTGTCATTGACAAATGATACAACCTTGGTCAAACCATTCATGTTCCAGTACCTCTGAGACTTCATTTATCAAACAGGGGATAATGATATATACATTCTAACCGTGTTATAAATATTAAATGTATATTATATATTAAATCTTCAAGAAGCTTCAAGCCTTCACAGAATAGAATGAGTTTATATCCTTTAGAGAACACTTTAGTGTTAGATCATACTTATATGACAACATTTAAACTGTTGCAAAAAAGAGCTGATACTGTTTCTTTTTTGTTGCACAGACTGTATCATAACAGCATTGAGAGAAATTTTGAAGAGCAGAAAAAGTGCTCAGAATTTTGTAGCTACCAATATCAACTTTTCATTTTCCCGATTTCTTGCTAGTTCATATACATAAATACATTTATAATGCGTAGTGCAGATGTATTGTATGTTGTTTATTATGTAAACATGAGCATTTTCATATTATATAATGTTCATAATTATAATTTTATAATAGTCCATCAAGTTGATACATCACATTTGACTTAAATAATCTGTTGTTCAAAGCACGTCTATATATGTCACATGTCTTCCTTCCTTCCTTCCTTCCTTTCTTCCTTCCTTCCTTCCTTCCTTCCTTCCTTCCTTCCTTCCTTCCTTTGTTCTTTGATAGAAGGGAGAAAGAAGGCAGATTATACAACACCAGGAATGAAATTATTGGGGTAAAGAGAATGAAAATTTTTAAGAAATCATTTATTGAGCTCTCTGTCTTTCAAAATTGGAGGGTATTATATATTTTAGAAATGTCAAACTTTGGAGCATGATTGAAAACTCAGCACAGACAGGATTTCAATTCATTGAAATTCTTAATTTGTGACACTTGGTTTTCTTTGTCTTCATGCATGGAAGAAAGCAGGAGGATGCTTTCCACTCTGTAGAGTCTGTTGAAGGGTATTACTTGTATGACAAGTGGGCTATTGTGGCAGTCAAGGCTTGTTGACTGAGTTAAGCACAGAAGCAAAAGGATCAGCCCTGACAGAGATATGACTTAGAGTAAGTACAGTCTTAGTCCCTTGGTGATGTCAGATGGACATCAGTTTGAGAAAATCTTCAATCCCAGTCAAATGAGGTTAAGCTTGTGTTTTAATTTGCAGATAGTTCTCTGATTTAGGAGTGACCTAAGGTTTATCTGCCTGCTTACATTAATCGTTTAGGGACAGCTGCTAGAAGCACAGCGGTTTAATGGGGTGCCAATCCTTTCCAAGAGCAAGTAAACAAGGTCACCAGGTGCCAGGGGACAAGTTCAACTGGAGCAATATCATCCCACTCCTCCAAACATTTTTTTTTAAGAGTCACATTCTTGAAGATTAGGAGCTGTGATCTGGGACTTACTAAGTATGAGGCTTTGATGGTTCAAAGTCCCTGAACTCTGTCACAGACTGTTGAACTGCCACCAGGGAATTGAAATGAGATCATGATGCAGCAAAGCCTCCTCTGCGTGCCACGGTTCCTGTACTTATTGAACAGTTTTGTAAACGGTATAAATATTAACTTAGTCTGTTGCGTGCCAAACCTGAGTTAGGTAATACCGAAAGAGGAATGACAGTCACTGAAAGCTAGATTTAGTCAGGTAAAATGATAAAAGGATTTCAGTTTTGTTATTTGCTTTTGATGGGCACATGAAACTGTCTGCCTCCAGGAAGAAGCAGACAGGCACGTCAGTTCTCGAAATATTTTTGGCTGACTTTAGAACCCCCCAAATACAGAAAAGTAGGCCCTGCCCACATCAATCGAATTTGAAATTTCTGTGTGTATGTGGGTTAGGGGGGTAGAGGGATTTCTGGGATCTTAAATCCTAACTCAGAATTGAGAATCACTGTTCTAATGTTATTGCAAAAATGCATCTGAGACAAGGACTTAAATATAATTAACTCTGATTATTAGCTATATATGCACGTTGTTTGTTTAATGTCATCAACGTTGTGATTATTCACAGAGTCCTGACCCATCCGTTCTTAGCCCTAGCTCCTTGTCTGTAGCTCCCAATGTTTGTCTCTCCTTAAGTTTCCTCCAAGCCACAATGTCAATATGGACAAGCACGACCTATAATCTCATCCACAGCGCTATCAATAGATACAGTATCATTTAGTTGCCATGAGAATTCTCACTCGTCTGGGATGAGGGTAAAAGGCACAATCTTTGCCAAAGGTGGAGGCCGACTGTGGAGCTCCCACAGCTCAGAGAGGCCGGAGGGGCTTCAGACAAAGCTGACAAGAAGACTCAGAGCATCGTAGGTGTTACAGTGGAAGAGACCTGGGTGCCTCTTCGTCTCATGGGCGAGGAAACATTGAGTACAGAGAGGCTGGTTCTTGTTCAGAACGGCACACAGCGTGTCAGTGGGATTGTCTGGTTTGGAACTCAGGTCTCCCAGCTCTCTTCCACCACATGGATGTTGATTTGAGGGAAAACAGAGTGGGCAAGCTCTCCCCCTCCAGCCAGAGCAGCTTTGCTGAAGTCTGCTTTACGTAAGAGGCTTTTAGAAAGGGGTCAAAAACCACAGCACACCGATGTTCTGGTTTCAGCATACCGATGGTTCTGGTTTCAGCACTGTGTGTTTTCGCAGGTTCTGCTAATCCAACAGAGCTTGTTTACAGAGTGTTTAGCAGAGAACTTTCCAGTTTTAAAAACAGAATACACACACATACCCGTTTAGAGAAACCACCAAACCCTATTTCTAGAGATCATTGCTCCTGTTAGCTCAATCCTTTTAACTTATGAAAGGGCCAAAGATCATTGCATTATGAACATCCTGAAATGTAAAAAGTTAACCTTTTTATGACTCTGCTCAAGGACACTTTTCTAGGTTTACAACACACACTCTTGATTTTTCTCTGTATGACTTCTCTAAAATACTTTTTGCAGATTAGGTATAAATGTACAAGTTTCTAGCCACAAGCTTTCTGAAAAAAAAATAATAACAGCTTTGTATGTGCTTTTGCAGTGTACAAAGATTATACTGTTTAATTTCAATGATAACCCAGTTATTTATATTAGCTCCATTTTACAGATGAGGAAACCGGGAGGCTGGGTTCTTTGCCTAGGTCAAATATCTAATGAGAAGGAGATTTAAACCCACATCTCTTTGATTCCAAAGCTGAGTATCTAACCACTAAGACACAAGTATGCCCCATTCCATAAATAATTATTATAAATACATTATTTTTTACATTTTGCCGAGACATAAAAATCACTATATTTCCTATATCACTATATTATCTTCAAATAGAAGGTATTTTTGCCCCATCCCCCATTTACCTAAAGAAACAAGGACAGTGATTTATTTCAAAAACAACTACATGATCCTACAACAGACGGAAGTCACACCCAGGGCATAGTAAAGTGGTGAGGTTCTCGAGATATGGGTAAGGGGACCACCAGCATCTGCTATACTATTTACTCAATATTATATGCACTGTGCTAGGCACTGCAGCTACACAGGTGAATAAGACCGGGCTTTCTACCCTAAAAGAACTCAGAGCCTAGAGGGGAAGACAGACTTGCAAACAGACAATTTTAATATAATATGGCAAGCACTCAATTAGCACAATACTCAAGACACATTTGAGCACAGAGAGAAATCAGTAATCTAGACTGTGAGGAAAGGACAGTCAGGGGAGACAGCTGAAGAGCCTGAACCATGTGCTAAGGCTGGAAGGAGGAAGGAGAACTAGCCAGACTGAGATCGTTGAGGGACAGATGGGGAAGGGTACTGCAGGCAGAAGAAATAGCACAACGGATAGAGCAAGGTCTGGAAGGACACAGGGATTCATGGGAACTGTGAGCAGATCCATGTATCAGACTGTAGAGTGTAAGGTGCGAGGAGAGTGGCAGCTTCATAGGAAGCTTTACATGTTGTGCAGACATTGGAAGGCATCTAAGAGTCTTAAGTTTATGAGTGATGTGATCAGATTTACATTTTAGGTTGATCACCCTGACTGGCCATCCTGCCATCACTTGTGATTCTCATACATGTGACAGTCTCCAAACAGTGATTATGAGCCGATACTAGCCTGTTTTTGTTTGTGTTTTTTTGTCCTATTCAATAAAGTTATGTAAGAAAATACAAATGAGAAGACATTAGGACATATAGGAATGTGGTAGATTGAAAAACTAGTCACAGGCCGAAAAAAGATGGCGGATGAGAAACACCGCCAGACAGAGTGTCTCTGCAGAAAAGATAGATTCTAGCAGAAATCAGAAGAAAGAAGCAAGAAGACGAGCCTACATCGGATGAGGGTCGGAAGGAGGAGTACCTGAGACCACGGGAGACTCCACGGGAGGAGGTCACGGAGGAGAACTGGAAGCTGAGACCGCTGGAGCAGCCCGGAGACCAGCGGGAAGTATCGGGCGTTTCCCCTCCCCTGCATCCCGGACTGCTGGTGGGCTCCCCAGCAAGTGGAGAGACCTTCGGACACCAGGCCAGCGACGGCCGCTGCCAGTGAGTGGTAAGCCAGTGGCGGATGTGGCACCGGGCTCCCAACTCCCTTGGGGCACCTCCGTGTGCACAGACCCGAGCCGCGCAGCAGACGCCATATTGCCTCCTCCTCCTCCTCTCCCCCGACCCTACCTGCGGCTGCCCAGAGAGA